ATGATATCAGTGGAGTGAGTAATCAATTACGAGCTTTAATTCATGTTTCTAGACGACAAGTTAGACTTACTTTGACACATTAATGAGTGCGTGGTAGGTTATCCTATTTTGATAGATAGTTCAATTGTTTTATAACAAAAATTGACAGGATACTCCCCCTCTCTCTCTCTCTCTCTCTCTCTCTCTCTCTCTCTCTCTCTCTCTCTCTCTCTCTCTCTCTCTCTCTCTCTCTCTCTCTCTCTCTCTCTCTCTCTCTCTCCTGCGCTTTCGAAACTTTATGAATCTGTTGCATGCTTTTCCTCAAACTGCATACTAACAGTCAGTCCGTTGTACGATTTAACTATTATAGATTAAATTAATAAATTAATCTTAACTGGACACGGCGAATGTGGATATGCGAAAAAGCTTGTAATTAGCTTCTCGTGGGTCGGTGGTTCTTTTCGCGGATTTTACAGTTTCTTCCTCCACCATTAATATTGGCCGCCATGTATAGCATATAGTGTGCTGAAAAATGGCGTTAAGCCCAACAACAACAACAACAACAACAACAACAATGATTTAATTGAACCTATGATAGTAAACCAGGATTAGCTACAATGGCCAAATTTATTTATATGTATAAACCAATGTTACGTTTGATCGTAAGTCCTACAAGTTTTCCCTTGTAATCTAACTCCATTAATTGGCACATCCGGTTTGCCAACATTACATTTTAACTATTCATTGCTCCTATTAGCGTTGCTTACGTCACGTTGATTCTCATATAATTAAACCTACATAAATCTAAACCATTCTTCAAGTCAGCATTTCGATCGTCTTTAGTCTCTTGAAGGTAATTTGATGAAAAGTGCAGTCTTGTGGCATCTGCATACACATTCGGATTACCAGATTCAATCGTTAAAGTTTGATCATTGTTATAAAAGAAACAACAAATGGATCTATGTGGTACGAAGGAAACGAACACTGAACTACTTATTTATTCGGCGTGAATGCTATTAAAGCTATGACTGATTCTAGTTTTTGCTACCAGAAATATTTTATCTATGAAAGGAGTATCTCAATTCGTACATTCGCAGACGTAGCACTAAACAAATGCCTAGTCAGCTCATTCATGACAAAAGATCTCAAAAGCTAGACATTATTCCACTCGTTTCATAAATTCAATATTTCATCATTACCCATTTGAGTTCTAATATATTTTACAAGATTATATTAACCGAAACAGCACGGAATATATTTTATGAGATTATATTAACCTAGACAGCACGGAAGTCACAGGAGAGCATGTTTTTGTTTCTTGCAACAAAAACAATTGAATTTATTGAGAAGAAAAAAATATTGACACAAATACGTAGCTGAGATCCGAATGATTTATTTTGCATGTTCGAGTTTGGAAAGCATACGACAGGAATTGATACAAAATCTGAATTTAGAACTCAGTTATTAACTTGAATTATAAATAATGAGTAAGAAGTTGACTTAGAATTAGAACCGACAGATGATAAAGAAATCTAGGAATGATTAAACTTTTCATGTTTATCGACGTTTTCAATTATTCCTCGACATGTTCATTTCGTTGAAATATTTTGCAATTTTTTTCTTAATCTCTTAACTTAAAACAAAACCATAACTGTCACATCGCCTCATTTCTCTGTCCCGCGCGTTTTTTGTTTGTTTGTTTGTTTCTTTGTTTGTATTTTCATTTTGTTCTAAACCAAGCTTTTGTTTTGAAAAAAACGCTTATATTTATGTATACGTCAATGATGCTTCTGTGGTTATTTATTTGCTGGTATAAACGTCAAGATCATTGTTTTATGTCGCTTCGTTAAACCTCAAATGAGAATTATCCAGATCATTGCATGCCACATCTGGTTCTCGGGCAGTAAATTTAGAACTTTCCGGTAATGCAGACCCTTATCTAACGTTAATAATGTTATTTGTACCAGTCCTTGAATCTCACTTGTCTTCGAATCTTATCTGCTGTTTTAATCGTACTGCTAAACAATATTATTAAAAACTCGTTTAACATTTAAGCAAATGGATATTAATGCAAAATTTGCACAGCACCATTTTATTTCCTAAATCTTGGAAAGAACTACACTTGGACCTCGATTAAATAATGCATAAACTAACTGAATTTCAAAGTCTCTTTTAAATAGATCATACGAACAAGGAAGCATACGTTTAGCATTTTGTGAACACAAAGCAGAACAAACAACAGACTTGAATAACAATGGATCATAATGAGACAGGATGAGCGATAATGACCTCTGTAAATTTAATAAATAGCATTATTTATAATTCTTGACATACATATGAATATAACAAGGAATCAATTCATATGGATTTTAAAAATGCATCATTTGAGAAGGACACAATATAATTGGGAATATCGCATATAAGACATTAACAAATATTCATTTCATTTATTATGTGATAAAATTATAACTATAAACAATAACAGCTATAGGGTCAATACGCATCTGCATTCACAAGTTATAGGTTACGTCTCTCTCTCTCTCTCTCTCTCTCTCTCTCTCTCTCTCTCTCTCTCTCTCTCTCTCTCTCTCTCTCTCTCTCTCTCCCTCTCTCTCTCTCTCTCTCTCTCTCTCTCTCTCTCTCTCTCTCTCTCTCTCTCTCTCTCTCTCTCTCTCTCTCTCTCTCTCTCTCTCTCTCTCTCTGTATGAATAAACGGATGAAACTTTCTTCTAATTCTTGAAACGTGAACCTCGACCAGGGTGCAAACCAATGACAGTGGAACATATTCTTGTCGACTTCCATAGCTTGAGACAGCAGTTTTTACGATATAAATTATATTTAGCATTTTAATGGAAGGAGATTTATATTACAAAATTGGGACCATATACTATAATGACTATACACATTTTACTTTATATTTTATATTGTATGCATTGCACAATTTTGTCGTCTTTACCTTCTATATTTTATCTTGAAATTTGTGTGCGTTTACATATATGTAGAAATATTTATCACTGAATGATTTTTGTGCAATTCTTCATTTTAATAACTGTACACCTATTTAAACTGACACTATATTTCGATTACTGTCCTGAGGTGCTGTTAAACCCTAGCATATATATATATATATATATATATATATATATATATATATATATATATATATATATATATAGATATATATATATATATTTATATATATATATACATACATACATACATACATACATACATACATACATACATACATACATACATACATACATACATACATACATACATACATACATACATACATACATACATACATACATATTACGTAAGGTACATACATACGAACGAGCATGCATACATACATACGCACACACATACATATCATCCTTGTAACCGATTTCGGCATTTGCGTCTTCCATTGCATTCCAGGCAAACAGAACTTGAAAACATGTCCATTTTCTTGTGTTATAACTTGAATTTATTAGAAAAAAATACATCAGAGTAAGTTAAGACTGGCTAAATTATTATAACGTTCTTTAATGTGTAGAAAAGCGTCGATATGAGCTGCCAAGTATGAGAGATATTCCTGAAAATTTGACTTCTCACTCCAGTGTTAGTAGACATCGGAACAAGATAAACAACGCCGTTATCTGGGCAGTAATACCTCGAACTTAAAGACATACATATCAGGGTCGATTTGTAGGACTTCACCGTAATAATAACATGTTATTTTATCCCATAGTTGAATGAATGATTAAGATAAGAGCACATTTGTGGCACTGTCAAATGAGCATATACGGCATAAGGTTAAGAAATGTTCCACTAGCAAATAGCTAATGGATGTAGCTTAAAATCAATGAAAGTTCTGTTAACTAAATTATTTATATTCTACGAAATCAGATACATCCTAAGAATTTTTGTTATACCTTTATGCACAGATGAATATTTCCTTTTGCGTAAACACAACCATTATATCTTATAGATATGGCAGTTTAAATAAATTTAATTAGTTTAAGATGTAGTGCGACAACGTGGATTATTCTACTCAAGTGTTAAATCGCATTAATTCTCTACTTGTAAAACAACTTGTTCATCTTCAATTCCAATCATCGAGGAAAATTTTGTAAACGATAAATTCTTCTATAGTAATGCACATGCAGTCAGTTATATTGTGTGGAATACTGGAATATTTAGCATGTTTTATGATTATGCTAGTCATTGATACATGAAATCCCCTATTCATCTAGAAAAAAGCTTTTCTTTTTTTTTTTTTTTGGTCTTACCACCGTAGCAGGAAGTGATATACATCAGTCCCAGCAGCACTTTTCTTGTCGTCAACTGTTTGTTGAGACTTTGATTCTAGTCTGGTTCCCTGCTTCATATATGCTCTGCGTTGCTATACAAGAGAAGAGCAAAGCAGGGAGCATACGTAGCCGGGAACAAAACTACTATGACTTAAGCTTTTCATTGACGTATACTTCGCATAACTCCTTGAGAGATTCTTATTATTCTACGACTAATTCTAAGCAATAAGAGTAAAGTTTGCGGCATGCACACTCGCCCGTAAAAGCCTGCAGTCCATGCCACAGTTGCCAATATTTGTCGCTTACGTTTCAGTTAAAATTTGTTTCTTTATTTGCTGAAGTTTGTTATATACTTTGATGGATGTTCTTCATACATTTATCTTGAATTTACTCTTTTATTTAAATATTTTATTGAAATATTTTTCAGTATCCGCAACAAGATGGCATAGGCTGGTTTAGATATAATAAATCTAAAAGTTTCATTTGCAAACACAACGGTTTAATTGTCATGTGATGCGTAGTGATTTTAATTTTTAACGTCGCTTTAATAATTTTTTCAGTCATATCGCTACGATGTCTTCTGTGTGGCAGTTTATAGTGATGTCTCGGACTGGATCACCATGCCGCAGATATGAACCATGATGTTTCACCCAGTCACATTATCCTGACGAAAGGTTGTCCAGTCCTAACAGCTGTTAGTACTATTTTTGCAAGTCTTTGGTATGACTCGAACGTGGATCGAGCCCACGACATCTCACATCCGAGGTGGACGCTCTAACCACTAGGCCATCGAATCGGGTTTTGTGTTTTGTTTGTTAATTTTGTATATGATTTGTATATGCTTTTGAAAAAGACTCATTAAGAGTTGAAAGCACTCAGGATAGTTAGATACTAGTTTTGCACTGTTCGTCGTCAGTTTATTGCATCTAGCTCAATCACCGACAAACGTGATCCCTTGCTGGATCCAGTGCGCTTAAAAGGGCTGTTTATATATATATATATATATATATATATATATATATATATATATATATATATATATATATATATATATATATATATATATATATATATATATATATATATATATATATATATATATATATATAGAGAGAGAGAGAGAGAGAGAGAGAGAGAGAGAGAGAGAGAGAGAGAGAGAGAGGGGGGGGGCAAGGACAAGAGTCGAATGAAATAAAAATGTGTTAATGCGAGATGGTGTAATATTGTTTGCATTTTAAGAGAAACGTCACAATCATATATTTACACAATCATTTCAATGAAACAATTGTTTCACTTTGTGCTTTCGTACAGTAGGACCATAGTTTCACTCTGTGCTTCCGCAGTGTAGGCCTATTCTTTTTACTTTGTGCTTCCGTAGAGTTGGTCGATTCTTGCAGATTGTAATAAGTAGTTTATGCTAATGGTTTCACTTTGTGCATCCGTAGTTTTGGTCCATTGTTTCAGATTATGATAGCTTAGGGCAGACATATTTGTGCATATTAGAAACCGAATACATTTGTCGAATATTTAATTGCTATGAATCATAACTTTATTGTGATTTGATTGAACGCAAAATTTAAAAAAGACTGCAAGTGCTCAAAATACGGATGATATCTATCAATTTTTAATGACAGCCTTTCGTTCGAAGTTATCTAAATGAAAACCTCTGCCTTTTGGCACAACGGTGACTATGGTTAGACGAAAAAGATATATGTCTACTGGGCCTATTTGTTGTCCTTGTGCTGGGAGCAGGTTATCAATTATCTCCAGACAAATACATTCATTGGACATGATAAATTTCTTGACTTATTAGTCAGATCTCTGATGATTAATTTAGTTTAAAGTTTAATTGTGTTACGAATACAGTAGGATTATAGAGTAATATTATAGACCTAGAGTTATACGTCCATCATCTTCGACCCTAAACTTACAACTGAAATTATTCTTCTCATCTGTATAATGGCGACAAATTAAAGGTTTGTTTGCTTGCTGAATTTAGTAAATACCATCCAGCTAGCGTAGTTTTAGAGAATATTTCGAATATATATAATATACGTATAGATTTCAATACATATACTTAAAAAAGCAATGGACATAACTATAGCCTTGAGTTTCTAATATTACAGTGGATTAAAACAATTAATATGTGAATACTAATACGCACAAAGTAAACTTTTTTTTACCAAACCAGGAACAAAATTATAACGTCATTTATACGTATGTTGACTCATTATGTATAAGGAGTCCAATTGCATGATTCTTACAAATACATATAATTTGTCTTTTTCATTTGTATTTCAACGCTGAATTCTATATTGTACATGAATGTTTCTACACACACACACACACACACACACACACACACACACACACACATAGATACTGGGCCCTAATTGTAGCAAATAAATTTAATTTTTATTTCTTCAATCGTCTCACTTAATAGACACTGAAGTACCTAATACTTTGTTCATTTGTTTTCTCTCCAAAACACCCTAAGTGTTGGACCCATTTATATAAGTCGTTTGGAGAATTCAGCCTATGAAGAATTTTATTCAGAATTATAGATCAATCAATTTTAAAACCCTTATATTCTTTTTGGTCATAAAATCAAGGGTTATGAGGGTTATGATGGTGATCACGCCACATACATATGCATGCTACATAATCACATGATTAACGAGGTTAAAGGAAAAAAAGCGAAAATTAACCCCATATGGTCAAAAACTTCTAAATAATTAGATCCTTCCCAAACATGGATAGAAAATTTAACTGTATTATCTTCCAATTATCAAAATTGGTTGGCACTCCATATTACAAATGAGCACTCCCTAAAAGGTACATCTTTCAGTTGTCTGAAGACAAGACATTTAAAAAAATTAAAAGCAAGAACCATAAACTGTGACAACACGAGAGCTCGGTTAATTTCCAGTAAGTGATTTAATATTAATTTCAATTACAAGTATCCTTTATTTCAAACGATGACATTTGCAGAAATTTCTATACATGTGCAATTTTTGCAAGTCATTATGGGCATTATTCTTTATATGACTCGTATTAAATTCCTTTGCATAAATTTTCCTTTTTAGACTTTCATTTTATAGAAAGTAAACTATTGACCTCACAGGTATAGTAGTGTAAAGTGGCATCCCTGAAGGAACTCAATATTATCTGAAAAAACTTATGACGCTACACAGGCACTACTGAAATTGTGTGCGTATATAATTAACTAAGCATTGCAGATATGAAACTTTAGTTTGATGTGACTTGTCCATTGCTCTTGGACATTTCGATATTTGTCATTTGAACATTCTGTCTGACCAGTTATTTATCATTAGCCCTATAACTTAGTGGTATTTAATACCAAAATACTGGTAAGGCTGAAACATAGTATTGTAGACGATTTGACATTGTCTGGATGGCCTATGAAGCCTTCCTGTTTTATGTATCTGGTAGCCTAATTATCTGTTGATGAGTTAATTAATTTTTTTAACTGGTGAATTAATTACCCTTTCAGTGGTAAATTAATTACATTTTAACTGGTACATTAAGTATCTTTCAACGGGTAAATTAATTGTACATATTTTATCATTGGCGTATTTTATGTGACTATTTGTTCATTATTTGGCTTATATGAAGAGTTTTCTTAGCTTTCACTGTGAAGTATTACGACTCAAATTTGTATTCGCCTGGCTATATGTGTACAATACTCTCTCTCTCTCTCTCTCTCTCTCTCTCTCTCTCTCTCTCTCTCTCTCTCTCTCTCTCTCTCTCTCTCTCTCTCTCTCTCTCTTCATTTCGTGTGGACAGGGCTACATTGTCTGACTATTAATGCTCATATTATTCGCGTGGATAAACAATCTTTATTTCTTTTTGACATGTTTCTGAAATTGAATCTTTTTTTGCTGCATGGAATTACTTGCTAGAAAAAAGTCTATTGCCACCGTATTTTAAATATGTTTTCGAAAAACAGAATCCATGACTGTATGGAATTATGCATTTTTAAAACTTTACTTCGTGAATTAAAAAGGAGAAGACTAAAGTTCATCTAGTCTTTAAATTTGCTATTTGTATCAACCTCAAAATTCATGAAAAGTGGTATCACACGAAATATACTGGAAACAATGTATCTTATCTTGACCACAACTAATTGCTGAATCTCTTATATTATTGTCTTGACCGTTTAAATTTCCAATAATGCTCCTACTTAACGCGAATTCAATTTCCTTGACTAACCAGAACGACTAGAAAGGATCTGATTTTTTAAATTTAATATAAAGTTAGGACTTTAAGGTTTCTTCTTTACATGGAACTGTGTTTTAGCACAGAACTTGTAATAAATACTAATCGATTTATTTTGCTTCATCCATCCCTTTAGTATTTCGGTGCGTCTGAGGGTCTGACCTTTACTTGAACATTACATTGAGGACGTATCTTCTTCATAATGCTGTTGCTATTTTACCTGCTGCTCTGGTAATCCATTTTAGTTCAAAACAGAAGCTAAAAATTAGAGGGGAAAAGACTGTTGTGTTCTCTATTTTCAGAACTATATGCAGCCTGTTTGTGCATAAAAATTATAACTGTTTGATTCACCGTTTATCTAAAGTAAGTTTTGTGACCCATCATTTTGCAAGAATGTTTTGCGGTTTGGTTTTCTTGCGTCGATAAGCAGTTGCTGTTGGCCTAATTGTTCTTATAATCAAGTGAGGTGTGATGGGGCGGCAATTTTAATGAATATATGGACCTTTTTATGGATGCCAGTGAAAGACCTTAAACCCACTCTGCGCTATCGCTGTTAAGTTTTGAGCTTCACTAAACAATTTTGTATGATATCCCTTCGACTACCGACTAGGTGGACATCTATGTATGTTAAGAGTCTAACAAGGTAGATCTACTCACTTTACCCTACTACTTTGTTGTTTTAGTTTGCTAAAGTCACTCTAATATATGCCCTGATTATACATTAAACTAAGTGAATTTCTTTGTAAAAATGTGTTAAAATAAGGTTTTGGTAAGAAGTAAAATTTACCATGCTCGGTGGAATACCAAAGTTCACAAGATCGGGGAAGGATTCTAATTTTTTTTTCCAAATAAGCATCAGCAATTTTACGCTTTGCAAAAACATATATTAAAAAACTTTTGAAAGAATTGTGCCTGGTTTAGAATTATTTCCAAGATAGTAATAGATTTAATTCATTCATTAAATCATGAAAATTAACAATATAAAACGGGGACATGTCTGGAGCAACTTTCTTGCTCTTAACACACAGACGTGAGCCCAGAGTTGATTGCCGTAGGAATAATATGCAAAATTGCAGAGTCGCTATTTTTAGCAACTATGGCGCAGAGTGGTGGAGTACTTTTCAAATTCTTTATTTTCGGAGATGAGTTGTTCTTGCGCTCTGTCATACTCTTACATTTATGTGGTAAGTAGTTCATACATATATTGTCCGCAATCATATTGAAGTGATCTATTTTGAAGAAAGAAAAAGCCAAACACGAACTCGGAAGTTTGGCCAACAACTCGTCCTCTGTATGACAGTGTAAATCGGTTTCTCAATAGCAAAGAAATTTCTTGCTAACAATTACAGATACAATGTAAGTATTTAAAACATAATTAAATATAACCAGGTTCATTTTCGTGAGAGATATTGAGATATTTTTAACTGTGCAACGACAATCAAACGCTATACTGATAAACATAAACAATATATGGTCTAAATTTAGATATTGCAATTAAAATGGATTACCTTTGGTATACGTAAAACTATGGCTGTAAGCAACTTCAGAATAAGTTTA